CTTTGTGGTGATGTCAAACAGTTGGGCAAAAGTGCATCGCCTTCACAAATATGGAGGTGTCTAATCGATAATGACATATTATCGACATAGTATTGATGAGAGGCTCATAGGTATGTACATGCGAAACTTTACAAGTGGTCTGAAGGTCTTAATTCTTACTGACGCCTGAACTTATTATTTTTCAATGAATATATTTATACCGGCAAAGGCAGCGATGGCAAATTATTAACAGATGAAGAAAGACATTTGGCTGTACCAACCCAATCCGTCTTAAAACTTATTCATATACCAACTTATTCATAACTTATAAATACCAACAGAAATTAACTGCAGGCAATTGGTTCTCCTCTATTAAACTTGCAAATGAGTTGCGACAAAGAGGTTGCGAAGATAAACGTATGTAGGTACGCGTAAGAAGAACAAGAAAGAAATTCCCATCGAATTTTTGCCCAACCGGAAGGAAAAAGTAGGAGTTGTATCTGGGGTTTTACTAAACATATTACAATTGTGTCTTATGTTCCAAAGAAAAGCAAGGCTGTACTTTTAGTTTCTACAATGCATCAACAAAAATACACTGATGTTAAAATTGACAATCCTGAAATGATTGTCTTTTATAATGAAACCAAAGGGGGCGTAGATGCCGTAATTAAAAATTGTGCAATTTATAGTTCAAGTAGACGTACTAGGCGTTGACCTATAGCGATATTTTTATTCCATCATCGACATCGCAGGAGTTAATTTATATGTATTATACCAAAGCTAGCCAGAAGCAAATAAAATACTACGGGCATAATTTTTAAAGCTGCTCGCCAAACAACTCGTTTAACGACATTTGAATAGAAGAATTATTAACCAAAGACTTCCAAGAGAATTAAGAATGAACATCAGTAGAATACTGAACAAACCGATGATTGATGAAAACGTAAATCCCGATATGAACTAAAAATGAAAAAGATGTGGGCTCTAATCGACGAAAAAAATGAAAAAAAGACTAAGAAGTAATGTGATGTTGTAAGATATCAATGTGTGATAACTGTAGAGCTAATATTCGTAAAGAAGATGTGTAAAGTAACTTTTTATCTGAATTCCAAAATTGCTAAAGTTTGGGTGTTGTAGTTTTTTTATAAGGCGGGCTTGTTTTTTTTGGTTTATTTTGTTTTCTTTATATTTTTGTATATTTGATCTTTAATTTTTAATAACTATTTTATAAACATTTTTAAACAATAGAAAAATTACAACATTTTTAGTAAACCTTTTCATTATTTAGGATTATTTTGACATGTAAATTGTAAATTAATTACTATTTATAACTGGGAATAAGCCACAATTAAAGATAAAAATAAGTTTATTGACGTTTCAATTTCCAATTCGGAAATCGTTCTCAAAATACAAACAGTAAATTAAACAAATTTTGTTTTTTTGTTACATAGTGAAAAAATTCTTCTAATAATTTAATTTTATCTGACTCATTTATATTGACAATTCAGACATACATTATGCATTTTAAAGTAGACGACTTTAAAATGATATTGCCAATATTGTTGAGTTGCGCTCCTGGGACGACTTTACTTATAAGATAGTTCATTCGATTACATGAAATCAACTTTAACTTGAGAATATCCGTCAGAAAAAATCATAGCATCTAATTCGTCTTTAAAAAGACAAACACATGACATGATGACAGTAAAATTCTCCTGTTAGTGATTCCATAGTAAATTATGAGGGAAAAACCAGAAAAAAACCTCATAATACTATCCCGACATTGTAAGTATTTGTTCGTGAATTTAGTTTACCTTCAACAAACATCATAAATTTTGATTTTATATGTTACGTTATTTTAAAAAACAAATGATGTATCCTCTATATGTTACTGACATTACTAATACTGGTATTTTCTTATTAATAACTTCCTCTTTCAATATTGGTAACCAGATCCTACTACATTCTGCCGAGGAATTTGCGATACAATTGGCCTCATTTAGCATAATTAGAGCCGCCTCTTTGATTTTTTTTTTCTTATTAGGCGGCTCTAATTATGCTAAATGAGGCCAATTGTGTCGCAAATTCCTCGGCAGAATGTAGTAGGATCTGGTTACCAATATTGAAAGAGGAAGTTATTAATAAGAAAATACCAGTATTAGTAAGTCCGTAACATATAGATGATACATCATTTATGTTTTTAAATAACGTAACATATAAAATCAGAATTTTTGATGTTTGTTGAAGGTAAACTAAATTCACGAACAAATACTTACAATGTCGGGATAGTATTATGAGGTTTTTTTCCTGGTTTTTCCCTCATAATTTACTATGGAATCACTAACAGGAGAATTTTACTGTCATCATGTCATGTGTTTGTCTTTTTAAAGACGAATTAGATGCTATAATTTTTTCTGACGGATATTCTCAAGTTAAAGTTGATTTCATGTAATCGAATGAACTATCTTATAAGTAAAGTCGTCCCAAGAGCGCAACTCAACAATATTGGCAATATCATTTTAAAGTCGTCTCACTTTAAAATGCATAATGTATGTCTGAATTGTCAATATAAATGAGTCAGATAAAATTAAATTATTAGAAGAATTTTTTCACTATGTAACAAAAAAACAAAATTTGTTTAATGTACTGTTTGTATTTTGAGAACGATTTCCGAATTGGAAATTGAAACGTCAATAAACTTATTTTTATCTTTAATTGTGGCTTATTCCCAGTTATAAATAGTAATTAATTTACAATGCCACAAGAAAATTAGCTTCAGAACAATATGTAAATTGTAATATGCTTAATAACTAACAATTTGGAAAAATATTATAAAAAAAAATTAATACGCTAATGTAAAATATATCAAAGAAATTATATTGAACATAATTTGTCATATTTTTAAAAAATGTTGGCAATACTAAATAGAAATCACATGGGATCTACATGGCACCACATCCGACGTTATGTTCCAGAAAGTACACGTCAGTGGTAGAAGGTTATACCTAGTGGTTTTATGTATGTTGTGTTTGTTGTATTCTGTATTGTAACAAGGGTTTTTTCTTCTCTTCACATTTTGTCTACACTTTTTCTCTAAACTATGTTTTTTTGTTAGTATTAGTTGTTTTCTTCCCTCCAAGTGCGTCTGTCGCTGCGTTAATTATGTCATTTTTGAGTTTTTTTAGCGTTCTTCGATGTTTTCGTTTTATAATATTTCATTCTCAGCCATCTTCTCTGATATTCTTTTACTCTATAAGTATTACGTGGATTCCCGTGTTTAGTCCTTCGACTTTAAATTTTGTTTGTATTAATGCGGACCTCTTGGGTATAAAGTATTTCATGATGATTATTATTTTACATAGGTAATATTAGGCTATGGTCGCTACCTACGACTGCTAAGATGAGGCATCTTACGTCGATTTTATTTTTAATTGATGTGTATCTCTGTTGGTTATAACACAATCTATTATAGATCTCTGCCCACGTGATTATTAAGTGTATATTTGAGTTGATATTTTTAGTCAAAAATTGTGTTTCGTTAGTCAGTTCTTTATTTTTCTTTATATCATTCTCGTTATATTTTGCTTAATTCCGAGTATCACTTGGTTGCCTATTCGAGATTTAAAATCCCTTAGTATTATCATTTGCCTTATGACTTGGTCGACTACTTGTAATCCGTTATACAATGTTTTCCTTGTTTTTTGAGGCTTATTATTTTCTAGGCTGTATACTCCGATGAGATTTAGGTCTTTCTTTTTCATTCTTATCTTTGTTGTTGTTGTTACTATTCTTTATGATACTTATTGATTAGTGTTACCCAAAATCGGTCTTGGTCTTGCAGTCTTGGTCTTGTTCTTGCGTTTTTGCAAGACCGAGACCAAGACCAAGACTGCCTAATTTTTGCAAGACCAAGACCAAGACTAACCGTGCAAGACTTGAGCAAGAACAAGACTAAGCCTGCGAGACTCTTGCGTCTTGCAGTTAGGACTGAGTGTGGTTTGAAGGAGTATAATAGTTCGGGATTATGCTTAGAGACTCTATGAGACGCAAAGAAGTATTACCAAAAATTTGGAAAATTTGACTTGTGCATTACGAAAAATACCATAAACATACATAGCGAATCAAAGTATTCATTACAAGAACACTTAAAAATTTGACACGTACTCAGAGGTCATAATTACAATCTAAAAATAAAATATTTTGTACATTCTTTCCCAGCACACTACTTCTTCACTCTGAAATTAATTGTCCAGATTTTGAGAATAGCCCCTTCTAATAATAAAATAATATCTTTGCTTTGCGACGCCGACAGTAATATCGTATCGAAACTTTTTAAAAATGTATCACCTTAGCTGATAAAAAATATAATTAGGTTAGCATATTTTTTTCCTTATAATTTAGTTACGAGGAATTTAAATACCACAAATCTTATCGGCTAAGACCAAACATCTTTTTTGCTGAGTATGCGATGATACCATTCAAAATTTGCTGAAAGAATGCGGCTAATATTCAAAAGTAACGAGATAAACAAACAAAGAGATAATGCCGATTACAGTGTAAACAAAACACCGATATATTAAAAGTAACGAAGTAACGATAATAATTCTCGGTTTTTTATTCGGTACAAGATACATACAAGATCTATTAAATACCTTAGCATTATACAGTAAAACTGACAATGAAACGGACAATTGAACGATTTTACATCACACATAGTGAATGGCAAACACTCGAAAAAGTACATAAGTTTCTAATAAACTTTAAACTTTTGTCCACAAAACTTGGTGGAGAAAAATATGTTACATTACCACTAGTGATTGTATCATTCAATCTCTTGCTCGATAAAATTGAATCCATCGTAAAACAATTAGATGAGAAACCTAATCGATCTGAAGTGGATAAAAGGCTCATTCTTGGTTTTCAAGCAGCTCGAGAAAAAATGCTTAAACATTATAAGAAGAGCAACTGGATTTATTGTATCTCTTTAATTTAGGCCCAGGCATAAGGCTAAGACTTTTGATATGACGTTATGGGGGAAGCCAATTAAAACAGAAAGCCTGCGAAAATTTAATAAACTTTACAAAGAATATAAAACTCTACACCCAGTAAATAAATCTCTAGAATCACCAAGAAATGAAAAGAAAGTATCTGAATATGATGAGGATGAAGACTTAATAGACTTTGAGAAACTGTATGAATGCTCCTCGACTTCATTTGGATCTTGTCATCAAGGCTTAGTTATTGACGAGTTGGAGGAGTACCTAAGTAAACCCAGAGCCGCTAACTCGGAAGACATTTTAGAGTGGTGGAGACGCATGAGACAAAATATCCGACTTTATCGAAGATGGCCCGTGATTTTCTTTTAATACCAGCAACTTCATTACCTGCTGAGAGATTATTTTCTAAAGCATCGTTAGTAATTAGAAAACATAGAAATAGGTTAAGTGATGAGTCAGCCAGATGGTTACTTTGTATTAATTCTTGGTCAAAGGAATAAATATAAAGTATCAGTAATGTAAAAGTCTATTGTGCACTGTGTTGTATTTTATTTTTATTTAAATAAATGGCAAATTATATAACTATTTTATTCCATTTCATATAAGGTGAGGGTCCACCAATCCCTTTCTAGACAAATAATGTTCTTTAAAATACAGTCAAGTTTATGTCATTAATTTGGTTGTTTTGTTTTTTAACCATGTTTGTGCATACGTAAGCTTGTTAAAAGCAAACGCTTATTAAGAAACAGATTGACTCTCGTGGGACATGGTAGATAGCTCAGCTGGTTCGAGCATAGGCACGGATCGCTTAGATCGTGGGTTCAAACCCCACCCAGTGTCAGTTGTTTAGACTTTTATTAATTTGGTTGGTCTTTTTATGGCTACGTTAATTCAAACTTAAAATGTACCTACTGTGTTACGTTGTTCAAGATCTAAAGTAACGTTTAATAAGTAGCAATAGGCTAATTTGGTATTTATTATTGGTATTTGCGAGACTTGCAAGACTCTTGCTGCAAGACCAAGACCAAGACCAAGACTGGGTGCGCAATACCAAGACCAAGACCAGATAGGTATGTTGGTGCAAAACCAAGACCAAGACTGTCTAAGTCTCGTCTTGTTCTTGCATTTGGGGAACACTATTATTGATACTTTTTGTTTCGATTCAGAAGGAATATAATGTCGTACGTGTTTTTTTTTCGTAGGATTAGACTTTTTATTATACAAAATTTAAAAGCGATATTATTGCTTCCCCCCCCCCCCAGATTTTATGTGTATAATCCTAAATTGGAACAAGACCTAATTTACTACAAACCCTTCGAAACGTTACTGTATTGATTAAAAGCGCACACGTGATAAATTTATACATAACTATTTACTTTTACAGTTCTTTTAAAAGTAATACAAAATCAAATGGAAGTCTACATCGATTTACACACTTTATACTATCATTTACAAATGAGAAGTTTGCGAAGAATATTGAATCCGAATCGTCAGTAATAGGAGCAGTGCAGTTGTATGGAGACACTATGACAAAATTTAGCGACAGCTGTCAAAATGCTATAATTCAAGCAGATTCCCAACCAAAAACTGAAATTCAAGTAAGTGTGTTAGTTATTATATTTATTGTTATTACATTTCTGATATTATAAGGAGTAATTTGTGACAGACAAATATATAAATGAACAGTAGAGCATTAATTTACTGTTTACATTTACAGTTAAATCATTAAGTTTGAAAAAGCAATGTCACTTCTTTATCCACACTATTTATACGGCAAGCTTAGCATAAGGAATAAAAATTAAATTAGGACACAAAACTTTAGTTGTTGCCTAGCTGCGACTTTGTATGATATAGAAAGCATAAACCAAATTTTGTTGACTGAAACCTATCATTAATAAATCTATCTGCATGTTGTTAGATCAAGTTTTATTTTGCCAAGTTGCTAAATGAATTATGATTGACATATACCTACTATACGCATTCTTATTTTATAATCATCTGTAGCAATTTGTATATACTATCCTGCTAAGTGAAGCTAAGTAAAAAACGTCCTACGACCACCAATGCAGTGTAATTTTACTGACAGTTTTACAAATTGAACAGAAAGGTCTCTTTTTTTATCTCTATAGTGTAAATTAAATCTGCAAAAAGATAAGGTCTACCTTATGTCATGACAGCCACCAACAAAGAAAAACCTTCTGAGCCCGAAAAAATCAAGTAAATTCAAGTCCCAAGAGCGTAAAGAAAACCGACAAACCGGCAGGCTGGGCAAAATTCCAGAACAAAAAAGAAAAACAAAAAAAACACGACTGAGAAATCAGACAACAGACAAACAAAATGTTGGAATTCTGTGCTATGATGGAGAAAGCGTCGAAGATGATGACAGCATTTGGAGAGGCCGCCCGAAAATGTTAATACACCAAACGGAAGATCTACGCATAGGGTCATGGAACTCCAGTGAGATTTAAAGACCAATTTAGTAGAAACAAAAAAGACAAAATTCCCAGCCTACAATATCTACAGAACTGATCACAGAGCAAATTCTGGAGAAACTGCTATCATGATGAAAAAAGGAATACAACATTCACATTCCAATACCAGATAGCCTGGTCACAATAAAAGCCACGATAATCTGGCTTATAGCCAAAAATGACACATTAAAAATAATATCTGCATATGTAAGACATAATAATCCAATATTCAATAAAAACTGGAGCCTAATACTGAACTCACAATCATAATAGGCGACCTGAATGTGACATCTCCCAATTGGTTCAATAGAGCGACCAATCGTAATGGAAGACTGCTGTGCGGCTATCTCGAAGAAAGATCCGACATGTTTTCATGGAATACTTCCCACATATCTCGATATTGCAATCCTACTTAACGTGGGTTAACAATAAGAAATACATTCCGTAAATAAAGGCAATTCGACGCACAATCTAATCTTCCTGACTCTGGGTGCAATAGAAAGAAACTATCTGTAGCCCCACAATACAAAGAAGACAAGTTGGCCAAACTTCAAAAGAACTGTGCGCGAAAACATCGGCACTATCCCAACTATTAACAATATCACAGAGCTCAAAGAAAGTATAATATAACTAGAGCAAACTATAATAAATGCCATCGATGCCAACTCCAAAACAGAAACAATCACTACACAGAGAGGAAGATTCAGGGACATTAGCGAAGAGCTTAAAAACCTTATCACAGAAAAAACAGGAAAAGAAAAAGAGCGCACCGAACAAGAACAAGGTAAAACAAAAGGAGTGCAAACAAACTAGACAGGGAAGTAAAAAAAAAACTCCAAAACCACAGAAACTAATGCTGGGACTCCTATATCCAAGAGCTAAATCCAAACAAATCCGCTTTCTAGAAATTATCTATAATACTTCGTAAAGGCAAAAATCTCATTCCTTCCTTACATGGGGAAAATGGTATTGTTCACACGGAAGAAAAAAAGCAGAAGTTATGAAGGATGACCTAGAAAGGCTGTAGTAACCATGAACACCCACACGAAGACCTAGACTTCACTGAAGAGGTAGAAAAATAGTAAGAATAATACAATAACAAACAAAACGCTGAAAAATCTACCAGCAAAAGCTACTGTATACATCATAAACATCCTGGAGAATGCAGTACGAAACAGTATGCTCAAATTAAGATATTTTCCAGACAGATGGACGGAAGCTCATCGGATCATGATTGAAAACCCAGAAAAAAATGGCACTTTTCCTCAAAACTATAGACCCATCAACTTATTATCGTCAATAAGCAAAACAGCAGAAAGAGTCGTACTGAAAAGAATAAACGAAGAATCACAAGCCTGAGGCACTATTACGGAAGCTCAACTTCGGTTCAGAAGCAAACACTTCGGTGAATTGTAAATGAACTTTGATTTTAGACGCAATCGCGTCTTTTTGATATTTTTTTTTTCGTGCTGAATTATATAAAATGGTATGATTCTTCTCTCTGACAATAGAAACAAGCTTTATGACAAAGCTCTCCAACTAAAAAGCTGTTAGTATAATTTTAAATATTTCTTATATACTTTGATGTACTGAAAACCAAAATTATGTCAGAAAATGTTTATGATTTCAGGATTTTTTACAGAACATGAATTCAGCTTTATTCCATTTTACACTGTATAGTTCTGAGATCTTGCACACTGAAATCTTTGTGACCTTGTTATAAAACACACAGAATATCATATTAAAAGCTATAAAAATTAAAAATTAGATCAGAGTTTCACATATGTAGAGTTACTAGTGTTGACTGTGGAGTTATAGACAGTAAGCGAGGGCCAGGCAGGAGAAGATACTCGAGGCTCCAAAATCTGTGGAAGTGGTTCGGACTCACACCGGTCGAACTATTCAGAAGCGGCGCAAATAAGATCAGAATTGTCATGGTAATAGCCATCGTTCGCAAGGGACAGGGCAATTGAAGAAGAAGAAGAAGAAGGAGTTACCACCAATCTATTTTCATTTTATACACGGTGCTCGGCCTCGCTGCGCAAAAAGCTAATGCGCTTCAGTAGCTGACCAATGTATACTACGTATATGTACGCTACTTACTCAGTGATGGTTATATCCTTGATGAAATAATATCAGCTCGGTTTCTTGTCTATAATTGATCTAGTTAAATTAGCTCAAAGGAATAATTATTGGACATATAATCGTTTATTGTAACGTATAGGACCAATTTCTAACACTAAACTTTGTTATAGTACAGCTTAGTTATGATAGGCTAATATTTGAGAGTCATTTTCTCTCATAAATTTTTCTTCATATTATTTGTTTCTTTTATAAAGGATTTTAATGGGTTTTTAGATCCTGTGGATGGCACCATCGAAAGTAAATGGTTGCATTAAAATCAGAGCTACTGTAGTAGAGTCTGTAGATGTATGGTTCAGTGAAAATGGAGAATTAACAAAAATTCTGTGTGCCGAATCACCAGACAGTGATGACATTCAACCAAAAATACTAAAACATTGTTGTACTTGCGATGAGGCCAAATATGAGGTAAGTTCAAATATTTAGTTATTTTAAACAATTACTATTTTCAAATAAGAATATTAGAGTATCTTTCCTTCGGATATAAAATTTATCAGAAGAATTTCTAGCTATTTAATGTATAAATAAAATATTACGTTAAAAAAATATTAAAAAGAAAGATTAGTGCAAGTATCGAAATCATTAAGACATACTTCATTGACGAAATAGTTTTACAAACTCAATCCGTAAATATCTATTTATGTTCAAATGTCTATGTATTTTTCTATCTAATCAGCCTTAAGCGCCGACTCTTGGGCATAGGCCTCCCCTGTTAATCTCCATTGGTCTCTATTCTGGGCGATCTGCATCCAATACTTTCCTGCCGTTCCATTACGATCGTTAGTCCATTTTATCTGTGGTCTCCCCTTTTTCTTTTCTTTTCCCATGGTCTCCAGTGAAGAATTCGCTTATTCCATCTTTCATCTTTTTGCCGGAGAGTGTGACCGGCAAAGTTTCATTTAACTTTTGCAACCTGTCTTGATACATCGTTCACCTTTGTTTTTTCTCTGATTCTAGAAGTTTCTTTTCCTGTCTTTAAGACCGATACCCAGCATCTGTCTTTCCATTGCTCTTTGTGTTTTACATATCCTGTCGATGTTCTCCTTTGTGAAAGTCCATGTTTGTGAGCCATATGTAATAACTGGTAGAATGCACTAGTTGAATACTTTTGTTCGCATATATCGAGTGAACTTTTTATTTTTTAGAATATATGATGTTTACCAAATGAGGCCCATGCTAGTCTAGATCTTCTTTTTATTTTTCTGTTTGATTGTCCCTGTTCAGCTTTATTATCTGTCCTAGGTATATGTATTCTGCCACCTGCTCTAATTTATTCTGTTTGACTGCTATTTCTAATTGGTCGTCTTGGTTTGCCATAATCTTAGTTTTACTCTAGTTCATCTCTAGACCTACCTCTGTCGCTTTTCTATCTAGTTCTTTAACCATCTTCTGTAACTCTTCCTTCTTATATGTTATCAGAACTATATTGTCTGTATATCTCAAGTGGTTCAAGAGCTCTCCATTTATTCTTATTCCGTATGTATCCCATTTTAATTTTTTTAATATGTCTTCCATAGCCTGATTGAACAATTTTAGCGATATTGTGTCTCCCTGCCTGATTCCTCTTTCGAAATTTCTACCTAGAGTATATATTTGCTAGTTTTTAAACGAAAAGAGCTCTTCTTTTTCATTGTACTCCTTTGTTAAGCTTGCTCCGAAATTCGAAGATGGATCCAACTAGAAAGAGCAGCAATGAAAAAGAGAAAAAAAACACATATACGACGTTAAATTTAAAACTTTTGAAACGAACCAATTAAATTTATAGAATTCACCAATATTTTGGAAACATCATGACAAAGCCTATAGGTTTCATTACTAGAGATAGACTGTTGTAAAAACCAAAAGTTATATTAATTATAATATTAGTTTATTTTTCCTTTTCAGAATTACTAGTTTACATCTTGTGTGACAGATTGAACTGTTCGTCTACTAAAATATTCGCCTTAAAGTGCAATATCAGCTGGTTGTTTTATAAACACATTGACGCCACTGTGTCCAACCTTTAGTTAGGGTCCTTCAATACCTGCGTTTTCTTCTTTTTCTTTGATCTAATATAAAGTAAACTTCCACTTATTAGGAAAAACAAATCATCGTCACTTTCACTAGATGATTCTAGAGACATCATAATACCATTATACGTCCAAAACTCGACTAAATTTGACAACAACGAATAAAATGGCAAAATGACTGCCAGTGTCAAACCGCATCATGTGTGTTAAGCGCCGCGCGGCAGTCTGTTTAACCCTAATCTCTCAAATAATTATTTTTAATTTGTTTATTATTTATAAACAAAGCCTAAGAAAATTTTTGAAAAAAAGAGCTAACTTGGATTTTTAGGAAAGTATGACATAATGTTTTTTTAATTCGTAAAAAAATGTCAACATGACGAATAAAACAAATTGCTTTCTACATGTTGTTAGGTTCGAGTTATTTTAGTTGTTTATAAGCTTAAAATCATAGTACTCTTGAAAACCTATTCTACAATATTTAACATAAACTTTTTATTCGTTAAAGGATTTTAACGAATAAAATGAATTACGAACAATAACGAATTTATGTAGATCCAATAGTTTTTTGGACAAACCTTTAAAATTTTGCAATAAATATTAATTAAGTGAAACTTCTTGAAATTCTTAAAGCTAAATCTTTGTGGTATTTTCCTTATTCTCACGCGAAATTAAAATTTTTAGGGCATTTTTAGAAAAGTTATTAATTGTGTTTATAGTATAAAAGTGTGACACATTTCCAGAAAATTTACCGGTCTTCACCTAATACGTGAAAAATGACGTTAATTATTTTGCATATTTTATTTACCACTTATTGTTATCACCAAATTGATCAAAACCAGCTGTTAGATACCTGTATCAACCAGTGTCACGGGAAAATCAATAGTTCCCCTGTCTACTTGTATACATATTATGTTTAAACTTACACTAAATAATTTTAACAAAGGATACTTAACATTTTTATGTAACTTGCATGATTTAAGAGTAGGACTTATTAAAATATTTATTTTAGGTTATATTTGAAGGATTGTGGTCCAGAAATACTCATCCAAAGGATTTTCCTTTAGAAGGATGATTGACAAGGTTTAGTGATATAATCGGTGCTTCTCATACAGTCAACTATACATTTTGGAACTACGGTGGCATTGCTAGCGAAGGTCTTAGACAGCTAGCAGAACATGGAAACACCAAAATGTTAGAGAGTGAATTAAAATCAAAGGTTTGAGATCAATTTTAAAACATTATAGGCATTAAACTTATACGTATTTTTTTATAGTTTTATTTTTTTTATTTTTTAATTCATTTTATCGATTTATTTTAGAGTGATCACATTCGAACAATAATCAAAGCCAGAGGAGTAAGCTACCCAAATATTACAGGAAAAACGTTCGCTGTGTTTAGAGTTGATAATCGACATCATTTAATGTCTATGGTTTCAATGATAGATCCATCTCCTGATTGGATTGTTGGGGTTTCTGGTTTGGAGCTGTGCCTTAGAAACTGCACTTGGATCGAATCCAAAGTACTTAACTTATATCCTTGGGATATTGGTACAGATGATGGACTAACATATTTGGTAATATTTTTTTTTTTCAAATATTAATAACATTTTCTTTTAATATATATCTGGCTGATTTTGGCTGCAGCTTATTATACCTCGTTTACATAGGTTCTTTATTTTCACTAAATAGGTAGTACCATCTAGCCAAGGGTATTTTTTACAGTAATTTTCTTATTTTATACAGTTTTTTCATTACATTGAGTATAAATAGTATATTAACACCTCTTCAAACGTTAACAGTTTTGTTACTGTAAATACTGATTATAAAATTATAATGATAAATACAGTTTGCACTGTTTCTTAATAAACCTCACCCTGGATGGAACAGATAAAGGCGATTGTGCAGCGTTTAAATCGTAACCCATTGGCTAAGGTATGACAATTATAACATATGATTCCCTGGTTTACTAAATTGAGATAGTGACCACCAACCTCGTCCCGTAAAAAATCTTTATTGGATTTCAAGAATAAGCTGGATTAAACTCACGAAGAAGACTCTGCAAACAAAAAATTTAAGAGAGATTGAGAACCCTGGACAACTTGAACCTTGTACTAAGCTGAAGCACTTACATATTTATTAAACTTAATAAACACATAGACATAACACATAAATTCAGACATACAGTGCTATTTATTGTAAACCAGAGAACAAAAAAGCCAAGAGCTGAAAAACATGCTAATTGCCCTTAAAATGAAATTTCTTTCATTACAGTTCAATTGATCACTGATTTATAAAACAAACCAGAAGACGAATGAGACCAAATCTTTAAAGACTTAAAAAGTATGCAAGAAGCTGTCGTAGAAATGACAATAAAATAGTGCTAGGTAACAAATATAATTAAAATAGAATGTGTAAAAAGGACGAGGGTCAGTTTTCGTCCTCACTATAGAAAGGCATAGTCTGTAAAATGAAAGCAGCGGTAATGGAATACCGAAGTGCCTGATAAACTTAATAGTCGTATTAAACTTGGCAGTTTTCAGTAATCATTTTGAAGACAAAAACATACACAATAAGTTAACAATAACAATAAAGAATAAACAAAGAAGATAAAAAATAAATAAACATTATTAAAACTTATTTTATCAGGTGGAGAAAATGAGATAAAAGTACAAAGGTAATGATGATGGATGTAAGAATGCATCTAGAGAAAAATATTTTCCTATTTTCCTGTATTTACCCTCAAGGTGCTTACCCTACAGGTAAGCACCTTTAGTATGCTTAATATTTTTGTAAATATTATAAATATAATAAGTAAAGTAAACTGTCTAAATAACAAACATTAATATATAAAATACCTATAGGGAGAAATAATTCAGAACATTATAATTATAAGGAAACTACCACTAACCAAAAATAATCCATAGTAACGACGAAACCAGGGTAGAGAGGTGTTACGACAAGAAAAGATGAATTATATCAATAAGTGGAACATTAAGAGACAGTTAAAAAAATCTAGCGAGCAATAACTACCCTGGGATAGATAATCTCCCGGCCAACATAGAATAATGGCGTCACAATAACTTATAAAAGAAGTATGGACACATAAATCACTTCCTAGTGATTGAAATATTGGAAATCTCTGCACAATATACAATAATGGTGATATATTCGAATGCCTCAATGACAGACGAATTACGCTGTTAAATCTTCTTCTTCTGTACCATGTCCTTTCAGAACATTATTTACCATCATCCTATCTTAATTTTACTTACTGCCGCTTTAAATACCATGCTTCTTTAATACCATATCAATCTCACAAGTTTTTTAACCATGAAGTATTTCTTTATCGTAGACTGCGTGTGCCTGCTATTTTGCCTTTCTTAATAGTTTGTAGAATAACAACATATTTAGGACCTCTCACTATATGTCCAAGAACTCCAGCTTTCTCTTCTTGATCCTTTTTATAATCTCAGTAGTCCTGCTGGGACGTTCTATATTGTGAAGTTTCAAACAAACTTTTAAAATTCTTATATAGCACCACATTTTGAAAGCTTCAAGGCGATTTAGATCACTTTTGTTCTAATCAAGCTAAACAATTTAATGAGCTTGCTTAAGTTGGTACTATTTACCTACATAGACGATTTTATATTCTGTTGTTTAATTATTATGAATATTTTGCTTTTCTGTATATTTAGATATGATTCCTTACAGACTTTAACGACACTGTCGAGTAATGTTTGCAGATCTTCAGTACGTCTCTTAGAACGTCGATCAATATAGTGTTTAAGGTAGCAAGGTATCTCTCGCATTTATTATAGTACGGCCATTTCAATATGGTAAATGTCAGAAAAATTTTCAATAAATGGATTAACAAACTAATGGTTCTATAATTATCACAGGTTTTTGCTGTTGTCTTCTTACCTAGGTACAGCTATGAACAATGAATTGGACCAACCATTAGGTAGGTGTCTCCTGGTATAAATAATATTGAAAAACGAAGTTTTATAGCCTTATTTGATAGCCTCTAAAACATTGCTATCCTTTATAAGCTTAAATATTTCAATTGTAATTTCTATCCTAGAAGATATGATATTCGGAATGCAATATTAAGGATACTTAGAATCACAGCTACAAAATAAAAACTCGTATTAAAAAAGCCAGAAGCTCTTTCAAGAACCTTAGAAAAATTCTCTGCAACTTATCTATAAGTATTAATATAGCATAAGAATTCTTAGATGTTACGTCTTTTAGTGTCCTCCTCTATGGAGTAGAAAGCTGGAGCCTTACAGAAGATGCCATAAAATGATTGATTGGAGACATTTGAAATGTGGTGCTACCGACATATGTTGAGGGTCTCATAGATACACCGTACAAGTAACATAACTATTCTCCAGACGCTAAGAAAAGACAAAGAAATTATTAACACCATAAAAAACATGTATATCCAAGCTAGCCAATCTTAGAAAATGGACTAGTCTAACATCAACTGATGGACTGATCTATTTCGGGTTGTTGTGAATAGAATAAGATGGGTCAATGTGGTCGCTAACATCTCTAGAAAATAGGCACATTTAGAAAAGAATTTCATCACGACCTGTCACTTTGCTAATTTTTTCATTGTATGGCTTGTAATACCTGCAAGCTAGTTATTAGGGGTCCCTCGCAGTTAGTTATATTCGGAGTGAACTACTCCTATCGTCTTCAAATAGGTTCGTAATATAAATTTCCCTTTCTTTAAGTTTGTCCTCTACTTTAAATATTACTTTACCCTGTTTATCATGTAGTAACGCAGTTTGTTTCTTCTTAAAAATACCAGATACTTCTTTCACTATTTTATACATCTGTCGTATCTATTTTCGAGTTCTTCAATTTCATACCTATGTTTGGTTGGATATTGACTATGCTTATCGTATTTTATGTCAATTTTTTTTGTATACAATTATTAAGTTTTTCGTTGTTTTTTACTAGTCTCCATTGCTCCAACAAATCTAATATATTTTCTGTCATCCAAGCTTTCTTTTTTAGCTTTAAGATGCCGTTTTAATTTTTTTACAGATTTTGTTTACTGCTTTTATAATGTTATTTAAACAGGAGATGCAGTATATTAAATATTTTCCAATATGCTATGCGACCGTTGAAGCTCCATATGTATAAAAATATTTGAGAAATGTCGTTCTAAGTTCGTAGAAGATAAATTGACAATCTATCAGTTTTCTACCTTGAGATAAACTTTAGAAAATCACAGGAGTGTAACACAGATATTCACCAAATATTTATCGACTACAAGGTGGCTTGCGACTTCATAAACAAAGGAGAGATAATTAAAATAATGAGCGACCTAGTTATACCAAATAATTTGGTAAAGTTAACCAAAATATCCCTTTAAAAAATTGAGTACAGGTATGGATTCAGAGCAAATTGCCTTAACCGTTTAAAAAGCAACAATAATCCAACTAGGTTTACCATTTCCTGTATACCTATATATAGCATATTACAACTACAATCTCAATATAAAACAAGTCTGTGTAAGTCTTTAGCTATGCGTATGATATCGATAGTTGAAAAAACGATATATGAGAAGCATATAATAACGCTTTAAGAAGCAGCCAACAAAATTTTTCTTTTAATACAATACCCAACAAAATGAAAGACACAAAGATGAGCATTTAGCTGCGAATCCTATGGCCACTTGTAATAAAAGACGACGAAATCCAGATAGTTAACGAATTTGTACACCTAGAAGCACTTGTCCTTATCGAAAATAACAGTACCGTAAAGATTATCTGCAGAATTTAAAATATCTTTTCAAATCCTCAAATATGTCACGAAATATAAAGGTGAAGCGTTATAAAACAATTGTATGGTCAATCCTAACATCTGAGACATGAACTCTAACAAAAAGCAATAAAAATGGTTTGGACGTTTTTAGAGGAAGGTACTGAGCATTAATGAAGCGGTGATTAACGATAGTATGTGAAGAACACGATATATCTTCCAACTTTACATAGTATTACAGGAACCTAATATTGTCAAACACAGTAAAATATAAACCCTGAGGTAGGTTGACTATATAAAGCAGATGTAGCAAAATGATCCACAAAGAAAAACATTACTTAATAGAAAGAAGCAAAGAAGCTACAGAAAAATATTTATTGATAACCAACGGTTGGAAAACATGGATTACGTATATCGCTTCCCTTGATTTTCATTCCCATAACTTCTTTATGCATCTCTCATTTGTCATTATAACTAATACACAGCCCATCTCCATTCCATTTTGGCTATCCTTTCGATGACGTCAGTCACCTTCATTCACCTGCTGATCCTTTCGTTTTCTATTTTGTCTCGCAGAAACATTCCTAACATGGATCGCTCCATTGTTCTCTGTCCAGTTCTCAGTTTGGTATGCGAGTCTTTTGTTAGTTTCAGTGAGCTTACCTTAATTAAACGTGAGAAAAACTGGATGGGAACGGCGCAAAATAGACACATAGGTATACATATAGGTTGGAAATAAGAAGAAGTGGTCTATGTTCCTTAGAAAACTTTTAAAGCTGGATGATGAGGATTAAACACTAAGCTATTGGTAAACAATTAACAAATTAAAATAGTTGTGAGCTGCACTATATAAAACAATACATAGCATAGATCAAATCAGTTTTTACCAGTTTTAAATAAAAGCTTTAACAAGATATCGGTTACTTAACATCTATATAATTCTAGTGTTGTTATACGTAATGAAAGATTGGACTCTGTCAGAGGCACCTATGAAAAAAAAATAGAAATAACATATTACACACATCTGGGAACAAACAGTTAAGCATTTGCAAATAAACAAAAATTATTTTAAAATAAATGCCGACATTCAGATCTAATCGGCACTGTAAGAAAAAAAAAAAGAGTATTCCAGCATTGAATTAATTGATTGATTTCAACGATTAAATATTGATTATTTAAAGACAATGCCAGGATGGTTCGATAGCTCAAGTCGAGTGGAACCGCTTTGACGTGACAAGTATTCTAGATTATTGATTTGAGCCATGCTCTAGTCAGAAAAATTGTAAACGCTGTACCGTAATCAAACTATTTATTTACATAATCATACTAGGCCCTTTTGCTTGCGTCAGGAAGAGGTTCAGTGTGGTTCTTTTAAAATTTATATACATGCTGTTTGTATTATCTGAAAAATTAAAATGATATGAAAAATTTCAAACAAAACTAGCCTTTATTGTTTCGTAACGAACAAAAAGTTATTAAAAAAGATTCTAGGAGAATAACATCATCCCAGAAAAAAGAAATAAATGGTCTCTGTTTAGGTATTAAATTACAAATGAGAACTTCTTGTACGAAGCTAAACTAGAAATCATTTATTAAGAAAACAAACATTTTACATTATGGCATTAGATTATAAATGAGAAATACTTATATGAAAATAAAATCATACTTTATCCCAAATTTTGAAATTCGTTCAAATAAAAAAAAATTATCATATAGAAGATATTTATATATTATGAAGATACTTTTGTAATTAAAAGACCAATAATGAATTACATCACTATTTTTTAGTTCATAGATAATCTTCACTGTTCAATAAAAATAAATATAAAACTTTTTACGATCTGGACTATCCAAGTGCTTGTGTGGCTTGTAGAAAGGATATAATTTTTACCAACTAGGTAGTCAGGCTGGGATTTCTGAACGTTGAATGTATCGACAGCGGAAACATAATATCCACCATAAAAATCTATATGATTGGAGTGGCAAAGTAAACGGGATATTGCACAAAAGGCACTTATACCAAATAACGGTAATCCTGCGAATTGCTGAGGGTGTTATGTAATGGCGGACAACTATACATTATGGTTTCAGAATACATACCATATATCCATAGCTATTTAGATAAATTCGACAGGTTCCTCTTGGTTGGTTTTAAGCTGAAAATATTAGTTTTTGTTTTGTTTTTCTTTACTTTAATCTTAATCTGTTTTAGTCGCCAGATCAACCATCGTCCCCTCGGCAACAAATTAGAAGATTAAAAACCAATTTTCCGACAGATCCTAGATCACCATTTTACGATAACACTGGTCAATCAATGAAACCTTTTGCTCGCTTAACAATTTCCCGACAAAGACTTTATGAAAAAATATGTGATTCCGCAGCTATGGACGATGTAGATGATAATTCCAATAATTGTGAAACAGAACCTTGGTCGGATTGGTCACCATGTTCAGTTACTTGTGGAAGGGGTAAATACATGCTTAACATTTAAAGTTATTCTTTGTACGAATTTTATTAGGCTTATGCCGGTTATATATTTAGATTTCTGTTTGTTGGGCATCTAGATTTTCATTTCATCTTTTTTTTTTTCAACTTTTTACATAGCTTTCGTTGTTTAATATAGCTTACCTTGTACTAATTTTACTTCTTAATGCTATGATAAGATCAAACCACAATCAACTGCAAGGATAATTACCTTTTTTTGTTTCGGCCTTTCGATTTTTATTTCGGAAATCGTTTAAAAAAATTCTGAAATAAAATTTTGAAAATGATTTGGAAACTGGAATAAAAAATAAATTTGATTATATTTTGCTGAAAAAAAAGCTATAAATGTGACAGTTGATTTAACCCATGAAGGACTGGAGTTGCCATATGGCAACACTGATATTGGGGTACGAATCTTATTATTTTGAGGTTATGTTAGTTTGTTTTGTTTTCAAGAACGTGCCGGTCTGCAGAAAATAAGTGATTTGAAGATATACACCTAACAAAAACTTAATTCGTTGGTGTTTGTGAGATTTTATAGTCACTGTTTTTGATAGTTGTAAAAATGGATATAAGATTTGTGTAAGTAGCTCAATTTGTCAATTACTTCTGAATAACTATTACCTCTACGTGGCTAAAGTAACAATTATGCTCTAATAGAAAGGTCATTTTCCCTCTGTGAATATTTGACAACCCTTGAAAAAAAGCGATCTTTTACAATATTTTGTTTTTTATTCATCGCGTTGCCATATGGTAACGCTAGTATCTACAGGCATCTTGTTTTTTCAGACGGGGTTTCTCTCTACAAGCAGCTTTGAAGATGGTTTACAAAGATGACGTCAACGTTAGAAATATTTATGTTGAGCTCCCAAATATTGGAGACCTCACTGATGAAGATTCTGGCGAGGAGGATGGGGGAGGATTCATCGACAATCTGTCTAGAAAACAGCTGGAAGCAAATGTTGAGGTGCAAATGTATGGCGAAGAAGCAGACAAGGAGGATGACGACATCGAAGAAGATGCAGTTCAAGCGATGGATATTTCCCAGGAAAGCAGCGGAAGTTTCATCCCACAAACTACCTCTCAAGTGAAGAAAATTGAATACGAGTCCCTTAATTGGATAATGGGTGATTTGGTCGACAATGTCGCTAGTTTCCCAGAATATAGCTACGAACCATTCAATACGTTGACACCTGTCGAGATGTTCGAATTATTTTTCGACGAGGATATAATTAGTTACATTCTCAACCAATGCACGAGTTATGCACTACAGAACAACTTTCCCGACCCCAAAATTTCCGCAAGAGAAATTAGGTGTTTCTGTGCCATTTTGATTCTATCGGGGTATAATTGGCTTCGGGGAAAAAGTTTTACTGGGATACGAAAGGCGATATGGGTAATGCAATGGTCATGAACGCTATGCGAAGAGATTGGTTCCTTACAATTTGGCGTTTTTTCCACCTTGCAAATAATAAAGCCATCGATGAAAGGGACAAATATTACAAGATCAGACCCTTAGCTGACTATTTGCAGAAAAAATATAAAGAATATTACGTCCCTAAAGGCGAATTAAATTACGACGAATCTATGGTGAAATACTTTGGACGCCACTCATGTAAACAGTTCATAAAAGGAAAGCGGATTCGTTTCGGATACAAAGTTTGGTGCCTCAACACTAAAAGTGGGTATCTTGTAAGCTTCAACATGTACCAAAGAACCGATCCCAAAGCAAATAATCATTATTATAAAGTTTTTGGAGCATGTGCGGCTCCATTCGTCACAATGCTCGATGAACTGCCCAATGATAAATCAAGATTACCCTACAAATTTTTCTGCGACAATTTATTTACGAGCCTCCACCTTTTGAAACATATAAAGGACTACCGCAACAATACGGGAAAATCGCATTCCCAAAAATTGCCCTATAGAATCGAAAGCTAATATGCAGAAACGCAACGGGGATGATGTAGAGTCGATTCTCGAGAGAGAAACTGGTATTATAGTTGTAACATGGTTGGATAACAGCATCGTAAGTGTAGCGTCAACATGTTATGGGGTGGAACCACAATCGCTCGTGAAAAGATATTCACAAGCTGAAAAGAAAATCTTCCAGGTTTCAAAGTCCATGCCTGATTGGTAAATATAATAATGCAATGGGGGCACCGACCTAATGGACGAAAATATAAACCGATTTAGAATAGGAATGAGGGCAAAAAAATGGTACTGGAGCTTGATTACCTGGATGCTAGATGCGACTATACAAAATGCGTGGGTGCTACATAAAAAATCCGGCAACAAGTTGACACAGTTAGAGTTTAGGCGTGAAATTGTGCAAGCCTATCTGACCAAATACGGAGTGCCTGCAAAACAAGGTGGCCGACCGTCTAGTTCACTCTCAAGTCGTTCCTTTCATAGAGTATCTGATGATATTAGATACGATGGAGTTGGGCATTTACTGGAACCAGTACCAAATAAAAAGAAAATTAGGTATGCAGGTGAAGAATGCAGGTCGATCATGAGAACAAGATGCGCCAAATGTGAAGTAGGTTTGTGCACAAAGTGTAATGTTAAATTTCATACACAGCTATAGAAAGTTTTTTGCCGATTATCTCTCAATTTCATAGAATATTTTTTACTTTTATTTCATTCGGTTAATGTAGCCATAGGAACCTAGAGTTGCCATTTGGCAACGGCAATATTTTTAGGTTTTAATATATTTAATAATTATTTTTGTCTTTTTCTAAGTAAGTTTTGTCCATTCATAAGAGTTATTTGTATTATTTATGTAAAATAAAGATTTTCGAAAACTTCGTCCTTCATGGGTTCGCCTGGGTCTTTATATATCACAAATCAAACAACACAATATCACCACAATATTTAAAAAAACCAAAAATATGAGTTTGCATGATAGTAAAAAGCAATGCATAGTGCTTGTGCGCTTGTACATGCTAGAATAGTGCACCATCTTGTTAATTTAGATAAGAGACGCTGTATGGTAAGCTTTTTTATTATTTTAAGGAACAGTAACAATTAAAGTTAAATTGAAGTTGCTCATTAGTCATGTATGGCAAGATTTTAATTGTAATATATGATCATCGTACTCATGATTATTGAAAAATATGTTTTTGACGTTGTGTGAGATATCCGATGGTTATATTCCTGTGATATATCTGACTATTTTTATTTCACACGTTTCTAATAATTGGCAAAAATAAATAAATATGCTGTTTCCAATTAGCATTCCCTTACCTCTCCTACTTAATTCTTATCCTCACCTACACAAAGTGCGGCTTGGTCTGCACGGGTGAACCCTGGAAAACCTGGCAACCTTACTGGAGATTGGGTAACCAACCCAAATAGAAAGC